ATTTTTGGTAAAAAAGGAAGGTTATACACTGCCCTTTTTTGAGCCCCGAAAAAAAATTGTCTCAGATCGATCCGGGAAAAAAATTTTCTGATAGAATGTGGCCTGTAGAATCCATAATTTCAAACAGTTCCAAGATTGGGCTACTAGTTCAAAAGTTACAGCCCTTTGAATTTTTTTTCGAAATTGGTTTCTAGTCTATAACTTTTGATTGAGAAGTCTGATCGAAAAAGTACGAATTGTTTTGGATTCTACGCACCAAAGTTAATAAGAAAAAGTGTTTTCCCGAGAAATTTTGGTGCAGTCGATTTTTGGTAAAAAAGGAATGTTATACACTGCCTTTTTTTGAGCCTCGAAAAAAAATTGTCTCAGATCGATCCGGAAAAAAAATTTTCTTATAGAATGTGGCCTGTAGAATCCATAATTTCAAACAGTTCCAAGATTGGGCTACTAGTTCAAAAGTTACAGCCCTTTGAATTTTTTTTCGAAATTGGTTTCTATAACTTTTGATTGAGAAGTCTGATCGAAAAAGTACGAATTGATTTGGATTCTACGCGCCCAAATTAATAAGAAAAAGTGTTTTGCCGAGAAATTTTGGTGCAGTCGATTTTTGGTAAAAAAAGGTTATACACAGGGGCGGACTGGGTACTTACGGGCCATTAAAGTATTAGTGTAGTAATGAAGGTGGCGGGGGGGGGGGGGGTAGCTCTGAGGTGCACCACAAAAACATTTTAAAGTACTCCTTTCTCGAAAATCAATTACCATACAGTTTTTTTTTAAATTGCAGCTGATAATTAAAAGTAACACAAAATATACAATCCACACGAGGTGCGTCGCCTATCATTGTATTTCAGCACTTTCAAAATACTACGACAAAAAATGATAAATTCATTGTAAAACACTTCAATTAAAACAGAATTTTTTAACAACCTAACATCAACCCCAATTATAGAAACGTGTTAATAATTTATTAATAGTGCAAGAAACTAAATACAGCACATACTTATAAATTTCCAACGGGCCATTATGATCTACAGGCTAGGTGGCAATCACCACCCGCCCCCCCCCGTGCCAGTCCGCCCCTGCAGACAGTGCATTATTTCTTTTTTTAGGGATTACTGACCCTTAGTCTATTTGTTTCGCATGCCCTGCCACCATTGTGTTAAATTAGCATTAGCACAACAACTAAATAGTAACTAACATGTAGCAAATGTGATTAATTTTCACATACATATGCATGTATTTTAAAAGGGTACCTAATCAATGAACTATTATTATATTACCAGCCATTATGCAAACTACCATCTAAATTTAATAATTGGATTTGTGGAATGAAAGTACGACTCTAAACTAAACAAATGTAAATTAATTTAATTAATTGAGTTGGTACATCAAAACACGAACAGCTTCGAAACGTTTGGTGGTTGAGTAGGGACCCGACCGACATATCGTAAATTTCTAGTTGCCAATTAGGGATATTGAGAAACTGTAGCAAGCTTTATAACTAAAAGACACACGTCTAGGATGTCTGGCCCATTAATTAATTAACAGGGCTGATTTTTTTTACTCGGTGGCTCTGGACCGAATTTTAGTTAAAAATAGATGATTCCTCGAGTCGTGGAAGAGTGTTTGCGTGGCACATGGGATTTCGAGAGTGCCGGGAAGTTGCTACTGCTGCAGGGATTGGACATCCTCGCCCATCGTCACAGGCGGGAAGTGGTAACCTGTGTAATCATTGTTTGAGTATTAAGAGTGTTGCCCAAATGGTAAACATTGTGATAAGGTGGTACAATAGTCCGGAACTTTGGGAAAAAAGCGGTTGTTTCTGTTGATCAAGACAACACACGTCGCACTGCGTTATCAGTGAAGCTTGATACCGACTTGGAAACGCGCCACTTTTCCCTATTCCTAAAAATTAAATCGGCGACCACGACGTGAAACTCTGGAGGTTGTTAAACAAGAATCGATGAAGCTTCTTCACAGTTTCACAGAGAAGCACCTACTAACAGTACTGTTTCCAACAATGGAAAATTCGAATGGAACGGTGTATGGAAAATATTTCGCGTTAGGCGTATTATTCCCAAACCTCATTTGTATACCTTCTTGTAATCGTATAGCGATAGCTTTCACCGACAATTTTTTAAGATCATTTTGATGATACTACGAAATAAGTTTACATAATGGGTCAAGATCGTATCAATATTAATTGGAGCACTTAGGAATTGCTTAGTAATCAAACAGTTTGAGGAAGTTCCATACAAATGTTACGTTTTCATTCAATGAATTTTTTATAATGGCCATTGATAAGCAATCCATTATTTATTATGACTGTAGTAGTAATGAATTTTAAATTGCTATAAAATTAGATGACATTTATACTGTTATTTACACATAACTTTAAAAGTGCAATTATTTATTCAACGTCGAGTAAAAATAAAAGATATACTCACAATAACTCACACAACTCGTTTGTGGGATAACTGACAATTGATCAGTTTTTTTGTATTTATGTTCTTTTTATAGTAGGGGAGCTAGCTCGAAATACACTGAACGAGGTCAAGCGCTGCGGTACTTCTTGCGGTACCAATTTTAAATAGTTGTTTTTTGAGAAAATAATACACAAAATGAAAACGTTGATAATAGCCCTTAGAAGATATTTTAAAAAATCGCATTTTATAATTTATCTTATAATAATAAGATAATAAGATAATCTTTCGATATTCTCAATTGTCAATTCATATCGTAGTACAATGATTAAACTTGTGTATTGTTGAAATATAAAGTGGGGTTTTATACTTTTTATTACAAGCTAATTTTTGGTCTTATTAACATACATAGATACTTATCGAATCATAATATGTAATCGCTGATCTGTCCCAAATTCATTATTTATCGTACCATTAATGGGATTTTGGATATAGATACTGTATATGGCCAAGATTAAAAAAACCCTCAGACCCCATAAAAAAAGAAAACCTAAAGCATTTGAATAAAAAATTTAATCGTGGCAACGGACAGACACCGCGAAATTATAAACTCCCTAGGAGCTCTTTAATAATCAGCTGTTTTTTATTAAGTAGCAGATTTTTGGAAATTTATTTGTAAAAAGGTCGCTTTTAATTTCACTTTGGCCGCTTGTAGAAACACAATGATTGTACATGCAGCGAAGCCGTGTAATTAACAACTTTAGGGACGGGGCTACATGATGTGGGGTCGGCGACATTTGCCTCCCCCCCCCCCCAGGCGCGTTATACTGACGTGGTGATTTCAGTTTTTTCTATCTTACTAACCTGCTAATTCTATTGATTCGTTTCAGAGATAATTCGCATTTGCATTTCAATTTAATAATAATAATAATAAATGCCTTTATTGCCCAATAACTCAATGATTATCGAAACAAACATCAGGTTACTGCATAATTGTGGGCAACAGGTGCAAGTTCAGGGACTGGCCCTTAGTGCCGCTCCAGGTCTTCCACTTGAACCCAGAATACTATATTCAGAAATTTATAAAGGTTTAAGGTTGGTTAATCAAAAGATAAAAAGAAACTTGAATTGTGTAATTTTGCGTAATGGTGTTGTCACATCCCATAGGTAGTGAAGTTAAATATGCATTATTGCGACATTAATAGATGGTCTCTAGTTTTAGTTTTGAATCGAGTGAAGGATTTGTTTGTTAAACCTAAGTGAACCTGTCAGTTCTCCGAAACGAATCAATAGAATTTAAAAAGCAAAGCAGATTAGTAATCACGATTAAATTGCCTTTCAAATAATGTGCCATTTGCCATAGGATTCCATTTAAAATTTTAGGGTTTAAGCTCCCTACAGAGGGATGAAGACTTGGGTTCGTGATTTGTATTCAAAAAGTTGTCCCCCTCGAATACAAAATTGACGTGTTCGAGGATTTTTCGAAATTTCTAAATTTAATACCCTAAAAGCCCTCTGTATACTTCTCGTTGGGCCACTCTGTATAACTGCACCGACACCAGCATTCCAGTTCTACGGCACCTTCAAGATAGACATAGATATAAAATGACGTGTTAGTACCTTGTGCTGCTTCTCTAACAGAATTAATAACAATATTTAATTTAAATCCGATCCGATATAAGAGAGCATAGTGTAAGAATTAGCTAATATCGGAGAGGGTATCGATAGCTTTTAAACACTTAAAGTCGAAGAACGTATAAATTACAGTAATATTTCAACCAATAGTGTGGTCAATAATACAGTGCGCAAATGACAAATAAATGTCAGGTATTGGCAACTGGGCATTTAAAACCACAGTGTGAAGGATGAAGAAGATTAAGTGGAACGTATTTAATCTAACATATTTATCTACATGTGTTGGATAATACTGGAATTCAATACGAGTTTCTTTCATTACATCTGCACTAGTATAGTGAAATTAACGTCACTGCCGAACTAAAATTAGAGATGCAATATCCAATACATGTAAACAAACATTTTACGTGACTAGAAATTGTCGCAGTGATATTTTACAATTGAAAATATGTAATATAAAACTGTTGCACGATTCCCAAAACCCCAATGTTTTATTTCATTGTAAGGGAGTGCTGAAAGCTCATTTACCTAACATTATCCGTTATAAGCGCCGAGTTCTTCTAACGATTTCGAGGCCCCATTTAGTAAGTTGAAGGGAGCTAAGCTTACGGGTTAATAGTTTGCCTTTAATTTGACCGTCGAAAGCAAAAGCCGGTTCGTACGAAATTTGTTGAGAAATTTGACATTAATTACAAGTAACTGCCAGTCGGCGCGAGTTCTACCATAATCTATCAACAAAATTAATTTCTACGATGACTGGGGAAAATCATAGTTTATACCAAAGTGTGTCCAGGTGTAAACGTAGCGTTTTTTTTTCATTTTTTTATATTGCGCAGCCTACCCTCTTTGTGTCTCACCTTCGCAAATGAACGGCGGAAGCGTGGGGCTTCCTTATGATTGGAATTAAGTTACGAGTCTTACAGCTTCCTTCCTTATTTTCAGAGTCGCCAGATTCAACGCTCTACCGCCCTAAACGAAGTTATGACGTACGGCACAGAAGTAAAGAAAATTCCCCGGACAATGCGCTGAAGCATGCTAATGATCGTCCGGGAATATTTGCAACGGACAATAGCACTGTGATTTTAGCGCAAATTGGAGGAACTGCAACTTTACCATGCGTAGTTAGAAAATTCAATACTGGGGTGGTGAGTTTGTCTCTTATCATTGCCATCAATGGCAGAGCATTAACTTTAAGAGTCATTGCAGATATCCTGGATTAGGAAAGACGATCATAGACTATTAACTGTAGGATTAACCACGTATAGCTCCGATGGGCGGTTACTAGTGGAGCACGTTCGGCATCTTCAAAATTGGGGGCTGTTAATTAAACACGTTCAGCCGTCTGACGCGGGGATTTACGAATGTCAAATATCAACACACCCTCCGACCAGTATTTTTGTGATATTAAAAGTTACAGGTACGTAGCTACGTAGCGATACGAACCAGAGAATATTCGTAATTAAATTTCGCATAAAAGTTGACTTATGAGCTTACCCGCCGTGAAAACAAACGGTGAGGGAGGAAGCTTCTGTAGACATTAAGATACTTGATACGATAATGCATGTCTTAATTTAGCGCATTACCATCATGCTCTTAATTATAATTACAGTATCCAAAAAATATTCAAATATACGACCGTACAGACTTCAACTGGAAGGGTGAAATGAGATCAATATAAATGATATTACTTTCAGGCCCTTTGGAACAAAATTTAATTTTGCTAGCAATTAAGTTTGATATATTTCATCCTTCTTAGGGTAATTAGCAGATTATTTCTGTTTATTACTTTAAAAGTACTTGACTATGCCCTAACTTTTTCCTACTTACGTAATAACGTAAAATGTGATAAGACGACAGGCCTTTAACATGTACGTTAATTATAATCTAAACCGGACTTGGCTGTCGTTTACACGAAATTTACTACAAAAAACAGGTCCCTTTTTCTTGAGGATATCTATAATACAATGCGATTAGCACGGGGTGGCAGGTGTAGCATTTTAATGACTTACTAGTCGATATACGCCGTTGGAGGTGTTAGGCTGTTCTAATATTAATTTAATTAATAAACAACCTAAAAAAGGTTGCGAATGTCAAATTATCAAGGTCTGAATAAGGAATTAAAATCAACTCAAAAAGAAGCCGCGATCACATTTTACTTTGTACTTACTGCGAAATTTATGCATGACAAACAGAAAAACACAAGCAACTGTTACTATTATCATAATCAGAAATGGGTCACGATGCCGATCGTTGATTTATAATTCCATCAATAATTCAACTGTAAGGATATTTCCCCATATGAGGAAATCGCTTACAATAAGCTTTAAGGAATTTGTCAGTTTCTGAAAACAGGATCTATGTTTTCGATAGGCATTCTGACCTTGCTCTTACATGAAATCAATTGTTGCTTCTTAGTTACTAAAATACGCGAAGAACTATAAGGCCCACTAAAAGTTTTGTTTTACTTATAATATTGCCGTTTACAATTACAAAAGTAAACCATTACAAGAAGAAAATAAAAGTTACAATATTGCAATAATAACATTCATTAATATATTTTGCGTCGCTTTTTGCCTTACTAATCTTCTAGGATACTTTATATCTAAATCCATTAATTTTCAATTAGTAACACCTTCTATGGTCACTTTTAAGCCTGGTTGTATCACAAAGAATTTCTTTGTTGGGAGAAACTTTTCAACGATTTCCTTTTGACAAATGGTTTCTAACATCCTGTCAGTAAGTGAGATTATAAAAATTGATAAGGGCTGCAATGTCTTCGGAAACGACTCGGCAAGTTACATAGGCCTATCTCGCTAATAAACACGAATATTGAAAAATTACATTTATTACAATTGTAATTAAAACAAAGTTTGCAATAGCTCCAATATGACCGCCGAGCAGAAGTTTTACATATTGTTGCTAATAATTGCAATCATTGAAGAAGTTATTATTAATAGTTACTGAAAGAAAAGGTATCGTATTTGATATTTTAGTTTTCGCCTTTGCCTGATGATCGTTCGCTTAAAAACAAAAATTGTTGGAGCTCATCGCTGGCCTTGGCAACAATTTGGCATTTTAAATTTCGGTTGCTTCGCCCTGTATTTTGTAAGTTCTTAGTGCTTAGAAACCTTTGATTGAAAAGGTATGGTGCTTACAATCTGATGTGGGAATTACGCGAAATATATAGTCTAATAGTGACAACCATTTCTGAAATTCAAGATCTACTGCTCGGGGCTACCTCACATATTGTTGCAATGTGGCTTGATTCCAGTTTTAAAAGAAAATCCAAGTTTGTGGCAACAGTATCAGGCGTGCAAACGTGCCAGGTAAAAATAAAAGGAAACAAAGCCTTTATCAGGACTGTCGCGATATTTCAACCAAAAATATACAGGGTTAGACAAAACTCCCTTTGAACGTTTTTTACATGGAATTGTAAAACCCATTACAAACAAAACTCCCAAGGGGCTTACAGCGGACAGCGACTTTTTAAGATTCGGATTTTTTTATATACGGACATTTTTGAATAGTCTGTATTTTCGAATTTTTTTAACTTTTATTTTTTTTTCGATCTAATCGCCTAATCTCCTTTCTTACACAGGGCGACTAATTAAAAAAAAAGTGTTTAGCGGTAGTTACAAATGCAAATGATTTCCAAAAAATTATGAAAATGTCAATTTTAAGTTCAAGGGGCAAGTCAGTGAAAGTCACTACCATACACTGTGGCCAAGAGAAGGATGTCGATCATGGGGATCTCCGAAGCCGAAGTAAAAAAAATTTTTCTCATTGGCTCTTTTTGAGCTGTACAAGACACCTTTGAATGATTTTCAAATACAACGTTTCGTCTCGGAAAAATCATCATCACCTTTATTTTTTTATTTATTATTAAGGCCCGTAACAAAATGATTGAGTACCATTTTTTATGACGAATACAACCGTATACGGCACACAAAAAAACATAAGTTGGAAACTGTTCGTTTTTAGCTGGATGGTCACCCTATGTATGCGAGAATACATTTTTCCGAATTTTTAGTGAAAATTAGCTAATTGACCGTGTTTATGTGTTAAAGATTCATTCTTCAGAATTTCATATTCTAATAATATTTTTGTGTAAACCAGGGGGGTTGGGGTACCATTTAGGTTGAAATAATAGTGACAATAAGGGTATGCCTTCCTGCGTTGCTAAAGAATGTGCATAAGTAGCGTAATTTTCGATTCAAGTTATGGGAATTGCAAGCGACACACCCTATACCTAACTTTATTCAAAGTGATCAGGAAATCTGGTGGAATTTAGTTTAAAATAGGCAGGCACATAATTGTTAAGTTTTATTTAATTTGGTTGTAATTGTACTTATGTAGTAAAAACGGTTCTATAAATTAGTAGATTGCAATTGTTTTTTTTGTAATTTAAGACGGAGAAATTAAGCAACGTGTACTTATGTAAAAGATGTATTGCGTCTATACGAGAATTATTTAACAGATGCTTGAATAGGGAACTTTATCAAAGTAAAATTTAATTGATTGAGATAAGCGATTATGTGTGATGGCTATCACCTAATATAAAATAATCAAGAGGATCGGTTTGTGAGTGCCAATGAATCACTCCCCCCCCCCCCCTGTACTGTAGATAAAGCCATTTACTTTTTAGTGATAACAATTTGTAGCATCCCCTTGTGACTCAAAAAACAAATTACATAAAACAAGAAAAATTTACGCGTAAACAAAATGATTTAACGTTATGTAGAACCAAATTTCAACGTATAAAGGGGAACTCTATGCATTTCAGGCAACATGTTTTCACAACGACCCTAACATTCCATATTAAACACGATTCAAATAAAATGGAATCAATATTTCACTGAAATTAAATTTTAGGCCATAATGATGAAAAATAATTCCGTAAAAATGTCCAACTACAACGCTTTGACCGTCGTTAAAGCCATGTCATTGATGTTAAACGAAAATTCAGAATATGCAAAGTTTCTTCCTCCGGCTAATTTATGCGATATTCAAATATGAGCATGGCTCTCATAAATTTTACTAGGAAATTGGCCGAGTAAATATATGAGGATGGAAAATCTTGAGCGTCGCATAGCTGAAAATATTATTAATTTTGTAAGCTATTTGGCATGTATAAAATTGGCTACATCTTGTCCAGAGGATATTACTCAACCGTTAGCTGAAACTGTGTTCATCAACATCTGCGACCCTTATCAAGTGATTAATTACCTCCACCTAACGCCGCTTTCCCCGAAAAGTGGCCCGTTCTAATAACAATTGCGAAATATAATAAATCGAAAATAATGACGTAATTGTTCCGATAAAACGGTACGTAAGGGCCACATTGTAATGTCTTTTACTATGTGTGCCTTCCTTACCTTTCCCAAATTGAGCCCTTGGGTACTATTTTGCATTTGTGGGTTTTGGAAAATACTCGCTGCGAATAACAAATTTTACTTAACAACCTCTAAATATAAATTGAAATCCGCATTTGGGTCTAATAGACATTTAAATTATACATATAGGAGACCCAAGTTATTATTTACTACCCTTCCTTTTTACATTATTAGTGGATTGCATAATACTTTACTGCCTCTTCTCTTTAATTTGATGTGAAATAATAGCTTTTGTCCGAGTGTGCAGTTCTCATTACAGAACCACTAAAAATTATTCTAGAATATTCTATATATGAGTCATCAGAGCAACTGTTTATAAAACGTAATAGATGCAATTCTGATCGCAATTGTTGAGACGGATTCAGAGATCGGACAGCAACAAAGGCGATAAAGTAGTCTTGAGTCCAGTACAACCGTAACGAGTTCAAACCGTGAAATCTTTAAAGGGCGGCATCGTCTAGGGGTGAAAAATGGTCGTTTACTTATAATTTCGTTGTAAAATATTAATAGAAATTGTATCATGCACTCTTATTATTATCATTTAAGAACACATTCCGATCGATCCGTACTTTTGCGGATCTAAAATAAAGCGACAGAGCACCACGGTGGGACCCTACAGGGTCTATGGATTTAACCCATTTTCTATAGGATTCTTACATATGGTATATAGGGCAACTGTTTTAACCAGGGTTTGAACCGAATCGGTCCAAGCGTTTGGCAGTTATCGTGTTCACGAACAGACATACACCATCGATTCCCCTATAAAGTTTCCATCGCTTTGCTCTGGTTGTTGAAGTGTTCGCCGTGCTTAATATAGAATAAAAATCCATAGTTATAGAGATTCTCTTGGCAAAATGCAGCTTACTCTATTGGCGAGTTGGATGCTCGACTACGGTTAAGAGGTCCCATACTCAAACCTGGTTTTCAGCATAGACATTATGTAATGTGTATTGGGTCGGGTTGGTAGAGAGAGAACTCAAATAAAACTCCGCCTATTTAAAATAAAAACAAATGGAACACCAAC